GACAGAAGATCCCCCATGGAGACCTCACCCTTTGGATGGGGGTGGGATGGGGAGATGGTGGGGGAAGTGAGAGGACAGAAGAGAGAGCAAACTGGGATTGGTATGTAAAATAAAATTGTTTTAAATTTAAGTAAAAAAATAATTAAAAGACAATTTTATGTTGATTTTAATGTGTTAAAAAGAAATACAGTTTCTAAAAATATGTAGTTAGAGGCAGGAAGACAGCTCAGTTATTAAGTTGGTTATTAAGTAAGCACAAGGAACTAAATTCAGAAGCAATATAAAAAAGGAGACGCATTGTGGTATGTATTTGTAATCTCAGCACTAGGGAAGCAGACACAGGTAGATTCCTGATGCTTATTGGCCAGCTAGCTTAGCCTACACTGCCACTTCCAGGCCAGGTAAAGACGTGTGTCTAAAAAAAAGCAAAAAGGCAAGCAACACTTGAAAAATGACACCTGATGTTGTTCTCCTGTAAGTATGTGCATGTGTACCCCTCAGACATGCATACAAACCTGCACATACATATGTGCACATACACATATACAAAAAACATGTACTATTAAAGGGTTGAACTTACAAGTTCATGGATATTACTGTTAGACATAAAGGTAGTTTTTAAATAATGAAACCTAAAATTTAAATTTAAATTGTTAAATTTATTTTAAAGGAAAGACCATTAAAAAAAAAAAAGAAAGGAAAAACCACCTTACCTATGCCTATCTATGTATAGGGGAAATGGAAAAACTAATATTGACTTAGCATAATTAAAATATTAGACATTGTGATTAAGGATTTTGTTCAGTTAAACTTACTAGTTGCAGTTCAAAAAGTACTTGCATTATACCTATAGAATTCATGGCATGAAATATGCACTTTTTCTGTACACTGACCAACTGACAAATTTGTTAATTTTTATTCTTTTGCACTCTGATAGCTGTATCTTTAATATAAAGCTCTTGACATATAAAATAACTCCACCCTTTCTTCAAAACTACCTTCTATATTTATGCTATGTTTAGCTTCACTTTAACTTTCTATTTGCACATTCACAATTTTCAAATATCAACAATGTTATTATTCACAATTAGCTCTTTCTCTTCTATAACTCCACCTATATTCAGTTTGAGTTTCCATTTTAGTACTATTACTTTTCAGGTTGTTCTTTATGACTTTCATCTTTATTGCTAATTCCCTCTTCTAACTGTAGAATATCTTATGGGACACAAGAAATCAGAATAATTATATGCTATGCTACCTGTGAGTGTGTGAGATGAGTATCAGGCACTAATTGATCCAAAACTGATGAACTTTGAAAGAAATGATATGACTATTGGCTTTTCACAGTATGCATCTATTTTCAAACAATGATGTGTGAAGAGCTAGTAGGGAAGTATGCATTTTATGCAGTTACTAATATGTTATACAGTGCGGTAAATTCAGTTTGAGAGAATAATCTTATTTAAATGAATACTGGTAAATAAAATTAACACCAGTCAAAACAACTCAGGGAGGGCTACAGTATTAAAAATGAATGATGAACTGTGGACTTAGCTCAGTGGTACAAGGCTTATACAAGGTTCTAAGTTTGATCACTAAGACTGAAAAAAAAATAAGATTGAAAAGAAGAAAAATAAACTGAGTATGGATAAGAGATGACCAGAACACTTTGACTCTTTGTTCTTGATCCTTGGCTACTATTAAATATATAACATTTAAGAATTTAACTAACTTCTGTTTTTATCTTAAGAAGTTTA